ATGGAATCTTTCCAAAGAATTCAACATTACATTCACAGAAACAATAATACTATTTTCTTTTGTACTTAGGTTCATAGATTTATACACTTATTTAAATTATCTAGTCATAATAACAAGTGTAACTGGCACCAACAGGTTTGCAACAGACTATTGTTGAGCCAGTAATCCAGCAATTGGAGCAGGAAACAGGCTACTAGCAGCCACTGTTCATCATGCCTGGGCAGCACTCAGTCTGCTTCAGGAAATGAAGAGCATAGGTTCACTGGGTCAACTGGTTAGAAGTCAAGAGGACTGTCTATACTAGGATGAACTGTGTGCAATTACCAATGCCCAATTGTCTCTAATACATATTTTTTAATTTAAAAATTTAACTATCTTTAATGTTGAATGTCTACTACCTATTTTGTTGTCTCTTTGAACAATAAATAGCAGCTTAACTTTTAAAATTCCATTCCACATTTACTCAGGAACTTACCTTAAGCTACTGAATAATAAGTAATACTATTCTGGTTTCCTAAGAATATTTTTTCTACCTTCTTTCTTCAAGTTAAAGTCATACATGTTAAAATGTCAAAGAGGCTGAAGGTATAAGCATGTGTCTTCTAGCTAACTAAATGATAAACAGCAGAAGGATTAAAACGTGAGGTCAACATTAGTTTGGTTGGTTGGTTGCTTCCAAGACATAAGTCTTTTGGGCCCACAGGATCCAACATGGCATTGTCTGTCTAGAGAAGTCAACAAAAGCTGGTAAGAAGAGGAGTGGGCAGAGAAGCCCCTTGACAGACTTAGGAAAAGTCATCCTTACATACAAGTACCCTTTACTTTTGTACTATATACTTGTTATGTAATTCAATTGTAGTAAACAAACAAATAAATCACAAATATACTATTAAGACAAAATCCAGAAATTGGGCCAAAAAGGAGGGAGGGAGGGTCTGAGTTTAGATGAAGGTCTACTAGCCAAACCCTCTTTTTCTAGTTCTCTTATTTCTACCACTTAAAAAGTCTAAATCAGGTTTACATCTATGGTTGTCCTTATGCCCTCACAAAAGCACTGCATGAAATCAGAGCCCTGGTATATGATACACTCTTTAAAATACCAACCCACAGAGTTAGTAGGCAGAGCCTAAACACTGCCATTATACCTGGGTTTAAATCCTGGCTGCGTACTTTCAACAGTATACACGGAGCTTTCTGCTTTCTGCTTTTCACACTTCTCTGTACCCATGCGAACTATGAGGATTTTGGTGCAGACCCGGCTTCAGAGGGTTCATGAGAAAAAATGCACATAAAGTGCCTTGTTGCAACTATTACTAATATCTAAAAGATGCCAAACTTTTCACCTCATGATTGTCAATAAAATATTTAAAGCTTGAATGCATGTTTGAGCATTCTATTAATATGTGACACAAAGAAGGCCCTTGAAGTTTATTTTCTATTCCAAAATTGTCATGCAAACTCAGTTTAATCAAGATATCTAATGTAAAGAATGAAGATGGTGGTCCTTTCGAGATCAGATAGAAATGAGAAATAGACATCAGGTAGAAGAGTCAGACAGAGCCTCCCAATGGGAGGGGCAGAAGTTTCAGAAAGGTGAATTTGCAAATGCCAGACCTTACCAAGCCCCCTCCCTGTCTGTCCATCTCCAATGGCTCCCTACCGACTTTAGGATAATACCCAAAATCTTCAGTCGGTGAAACAAGACTCTCAGTAACTTGGCCCCTCTGTGCCTAGGCAACTTCACCTCACACCCTCCTCTGCAGTCATTTTACAGTGTTCCAACTCTCTGATGCATCTGCGCCCACAGACTGGATTTGATTCTCTGCTGCCCTAACTCCCCCCATTCTCCCTTCTTTTGGCTCAGGAAGGCAGCTTTGCCTCCCTTGCTTGGCTTTCGCAGCACTCTGAATATGCTTCTTATACTTTATCACACTGTCCTGTCATTGTTTACCTCCCTCAAGCCCACACAGATGTGGGCTGGGCTCCTTAGAAGCCAGCCAACCATTCTGCCTGACACAAAGCTGACACTCAAATATCTGCTGAATATGCAACTTCTGAAACATCCTTATTTTGGCTAGGTTTGGCTCTATTACCTTATATCAGAGGGGACAAAGAAGCCAGCCTGTTGGTGTTCAAGGCCCACGTGGCTGCTCATCCCTACAGATGAAGATTTGTTTTTAACATGGCAGACTTATATGGTAACTTAGTTCATCTGAATAATGAGCAGTGTGTTTAGCAATATTTATGGTGTGTACTTACCTCTATCCTTAACCAAAAGATAAGTTTTACTTGACAATATAATAGTATGTGCCTTTAATATATCTAAATCAATTAAGAACAGTGGGATACCATGATCTTGTTTAGAAGACCTATCTTATAAAGTACCAAATTTGCATGAGTTTTCAACTTTTCATGAGTGGTCCAAATTGGAATGATCACAGCACACTTCTAAACTATATTCTCTCTAAAAATATGTTTATGGCCTGATTCTTGACATGCTGTGTTTCATTGAGACTCAATGTTCATTCTCAACTTTACTGCTACTGTATACATAAAGGCTCCCAAATTATTTATTTGCTAACTAGCATTCTTTCATACCCTAAAACTGATGTTTGCACATGTAACACACCAAGGAGAATAAAGAATTAAACAAGTTAGGAACAGTCCTATTTCTTCAACTTGACTAGAAATTATGTGAGGACAAAGGCTTCTTTTATGCATACTCAAGTATCTAACATAAATAAACCCCGATTTGTAAATTGGCCTGTCTGCAAAGGTGTAAATATGACTATAACTTAGGTTGTTTGTAATCGTTGTTAATATATCTGTCCAACAATAGAGGATTAGCTAAGGAAATTACATTCTAATCACTGGAATACAATTCCAACAAGAGTTTTAGAAATAAGATAAAAAATGTTAACCATGTATTATATGAAAAACATGAATACTAAAATTCTATGTGTAGCATGACAGAGGAAAACATGCATAGAAAAAAAGGAGAGAAAGGTAAAATGGCAAAACATTCACTGTGACAGAATTATGCTCAGTAGGTCAAAAGTCTTCTGGGCTCCCTAATTTCACCATTTTGATACCGTTTTCCAGTTTTCTTTTCTCCTCAACCTCAAAGTTCTCCACGCACAGTCAGTTCTCTCATCAGCGTCAATCCTCTCTCAGGATTAGTGCGGGCCCACATCACCTTACACAAAAATTTGGGGGAAAGATTTCTAAGTAGGCTTGTCTGCAGTCTCATCCGACTATCATATTTATTGCCAGAATAAGACAGTCACTCTACAGCAACTCTACAACTACTTCATTTATGTTTCATGTGCTTTTCTGTATGTGTTATTTTTTCAGTAAAATTGGAGAAGGGTTATAAATTACTGTGGTTTCATATCTTGTTTTGCCAAGACAAGGATAGGTCTATGGTTCTCTGCTGGTATGGTTCTACTTCATTACACTTCTTAATGTCATGTTTAGCCAGGGTGACCGGGTTCCTACCTGCAGCAATGGAGTCAGCAGGATTTTTCTCCTCTAGTACAAGCCCTGTCAGTTCCCCAGTGTCCACCAATACAAACTCCTTACCATCCCGTAAAACCTGGATTAAAAAATGCTTTTCCCCATCACCAAAACACAGATCTGCGCTACCTTAACTCATACTGCACCATTCTGCAAACATTTGTCAAACAACTACTAGTTGTAAGGTCTGAAGATGTAAAGTGCTAAGGTGTTTACAATCATTTTGGGGACATCAAGCATTTAGGAAAGAAAATAATGAACAGTAAAGAATGACACATGGCAAGGGATAAATGAGTAAAAAGTGTTGGGAAAGAGGAAGTGGTGAAGACCGGATGAGAAAGGGGTGAGGCTGAGGAAGGTTAGAAGGAAGAGACCAGGTAAAAACTGAACAGATTTCAATTGAGTGGGACAGGACCACTGACTTTTGCCCCTGGAATGATTAGGGTAATGGTGTGGCCCCTGACATAAATGATGTTAACTAGAAATGCTTTGGGGCAAAGCAGGGCAAGTCCAAAGGGAATATTACAATATGCACTGACATGTGTTACACTAAAACTGACTAAGATGCAGGGAAAGCACAGAATATTAAGTCGGATAACCTAAACTAGGACAAAGACGGAAAAGAAAGCCCTGCGAATGAGGGCCTGGTCACTGATGCCTGACACAGCATAGGACTTCAGGAAAATATCGAGCAAGAAACGAACCCTAGGTGAGGCAGCATGCACAGTGGTTCAGGGCCCAGCTTGGCACCAGAGCCCTGGGTTGGAATTCCCGACTGCTACCTGTGTGCCCTTAGACAAGTTACTGTGCCTCTGTTTTCTCATCCGCAAAACAAGGATATTACCATTTACCTCACAGTATTCCTGCGAGGACCAGAGGAGTTCACACAAGTTCTGAGAACAGTGTCCAGCACATAAACACGCGATAAATGTCTGCCACTGAGGGAGAAGAATTTTTGTCCTCAGTCACTTTGGGGAGAACAATTCTGGCCAGTAATTGGAGCAGAAACTACAAAGTAAGGAATCAGTAAGCAAATGAGCGACAGGAAGACGAGGCAGCCACAAAATATAAATGACTCTTTTATGGCAGTAAAACAGTAAAAGCGAGGACTGGGATAAAGAGTAACCTGCAAGTATAAGTAAGGTTAAGTGAAAATGCTTTCCGGGGGGATATCTCAGCAAGAGGGAAAAAGCTAGACTCTCCAGAACTGATCTTCAGTCAGTGAGGGACTTGTTTCCCGAACCACTGGGGGAGCTGGTCGGGGTCGAGACCAGACCCAGCTCCCCCGGGAGCTCCAAAGAGCGCTCTCCCTGCATCCGGTAAGTTTGAATCAGCGGTGACTGATTAGCGGCACCAGGCCCATTTCCCAACGAGCCTCGGACAATGGAACCACAGCCTTTCCCATCTCCATCTCCGGCACGACCTGTTCTGCGGCTCTGTACTCATCAGTCGGCTCCTCAGCCAGCGGCAGCCGCCCGGACAGGATGCGGCTCCGGGAGCCGGGGCGCAGCGCCCCAAGTTCAGTCCGGCCTCGCGCACACCAAGACGCCCCAGAGGGGAAGCAAGCAAAAGGAAAGGGGCTCGGGAGCTCTGGGGGGCGGCTAGCGAGGCCAGATGCCGGGGCGGGGAGGGTGACCTCGGCGGCCAAGGTCGGGGGCGTCCTTCTCCCTCCCAGTCCCACCGGCGAGCACCTTTGCCCTCCCGCCCGGAGCAGCAGGGCCCGCGGCCGGCGGGCGCGCCCGGAGAGCCTGCGAGCCCCGGGGCGGCTCGGGACCACCGTCCTTCTGCGAGGCCGGGGCAGCGGGGGCGCCCAGGTGAGCGCCGCGGGCAGGGCCTTCGCCTTCGGCCAAACTTCCCAGGCGCGTCCGCACGGCCCCGGGAGGGCCCGGCCAGGCGCCCCCGGCTCCGCACCCGGATCCCGCGCGCCCCGCCCAAGGTCGCCCGCCCGGCCGCTCCCGCCCCTGCCCTCGGGGCCTCTCTCCCTTCCCGCGTCTCCTCGCCGCCGAGGCCCGAGAAAGTTTGGCCCCGGCCCGCAGGCCGGGAGCCCCGCACTCACCGCGGGCGGCGGAGCCGAGCGCCCGGCGCTGGATCACAGGGCGGCGGCGTGGGCGCCGAGCTCTCACAGCGGCCCCTGCTGCCCCGGCCGCCGACCGCGCTGGGAAGGGGAGGAGGCCGCCGGGGAGTCACCTGCCGGCGCTCCCACCCCGCCGCGTGACGCCGCGCAGCACCGCCCCCTGCCCGCCGCCGCCGCCGCCGCCAGGTACCCACGAGGGGCGGGCGGCGCGCGGCCCTGGTCGCCCTACCTCCCCGGGCGCGCCTCCCGCCCGTGCTGCTGCCGGCCGCCTCGGGATATAGGTTCTGGCCCTTGGACTGATGACATTTTTTTCTGATCACAAATGCGGTCACCTGAGGTCATCACGAGGCTTAACATAAATAGTGTAAAATGCTTGGCATCCTTGAGCAATGAGTTGCAGACAGTCCTGAAATGAGGAAAACCTGGCTGAGGGCGAGGCTGGCTGTGGAGGGGGACAAGAAAGGGGATCCCTGCTCCTGGAAAGGCTTTGGGGAGGGTTCATTCATACCTGAAATGGAGGCTAGACCCAGCCAAGGCGAGGAGCCTAGTGTTGGGTCAGCTCCATCCCCTGCTTATTAAGAAACTGGGGACTTGCTGAAATATTGGGGAGTGGAGCGGACTTGCAGAGCACTGGAAAGTAAATTGTGTATAATCTAACTCTACTGGTAAATAACAACTGCTGCAGGGAACAAAGTCTAGCAAACTGAATTCTCCTTATCTATGTTGGATTGGGGAGTGGGGTGAGTGCAAAATGTTAGGCTCCTATTGGTGGGCTTCGTTATTTTTTAACTTTGGCGGACTTGTGTCTAGTGCGATCTCTTAACCGCTGCAGCGTTTCAGGGCATCAATAGCGGGGAGATGAAATAGGAATCCAAGGAAGTACTTGCCTAGGCAGCAAAACCAAGACCTGAAATGAAGTTGTCCTCTACAAACCTGAAAAATAACCTGAGGGTTTGCTGTCCTGACCCAGGCACCTCACAAACGTGGCCCCTGTAGTTTATGCTGTGATGTTTAAGCAAGGGATCAGGACAAAAAGGTCCAGAACACCTAGGAGGATGGGTAGCGAGAACACTCAGCGGTGAGCGAGTACTCACATGCGGAGTTTACCTTCCACAGCCTAATCCCACTGTAATGAACAGGAAGTTTTAAATGTTTTAGGTAGAACTTTGAGAGTACACATAATAGCCATTGAAAGAAAGGCATAAAACATGAAAACTCAACTTGAAGAGAATCCTGACATCAAGGAAACTAAAGATTTCTCCTTCAAATAAATTTTGCTTTCATAATAAAAACAGGTCATTTAGTAGATTTCAGAAGTCCTTTGGCAATTGGAGACAGTTGCCTACTGATATTTGCCTTTAAGTCTGTCACTATCTACCTACCTCTGTATATTTATGAAATTTCAAATATGCAGGTCAAATTAATTCATTCATTTAACAAATATTGAGTGCTATGTTCCTGAAGATTCAACAGGAGACAAAGCAGATCCCCCACCCCCCAAAAAACCAAACCACTGTTCTTGTGAACATCCATTCTATGTTGAGGATGACAGACCACAGATGCATAAACAAGTAAAATATGTGATTTTCTTGTTGTGATAAGTGCTATAAAGAAAAAGATGGGAAAGGGACAGAAGCTTTTGGAGGTGGAGAGTCACAATGTTGAAGTGGTTGGGGAAGACTTCAAAGGAGGAAGCATTTGAGCCAAATTTTTAAAGAGGTATGTCTATCTGGGAACAGTATTCCAGTCAGTAGGAACAGCAAGGCTAAAGACCAGGGAGCATGATCTTGTCTGGGGTGTTCATGTTCACAGAACAGCAAGGAAGCCAGAATGACTGAATTGGAATGAGTGAGGACATTAGTCATCAATGAGCTCAAAAAGTCAAGGGAAGCATTTTGAGTAAAGAAGTGATATCACTCAACTGAAAATTTAAAAAGGAATACCCTGACAACATTTTTGAGAGTAGGTTGAGGGAGGTGGAGCAAGGAGATGAGTAGGAGGCTCTTACAAAATCTAGATGGGAGATAAAAGTGGCTTGAACCAGGTTAGTAGCAGTGAGAGATGGTAGGATTTTTAAAATATGTCCTGAGGGTAATGTTAACAAAATTTCCCAAGGATCTGATATGGGTGTGAGATGAAATAAGTAAAATAAAGATCAAAAATGACTCCAGAGTGTTTGCCTTGATCATTTGGAAGGAGAGTGTTGCCATTTATTAAGAAGAGAAGACTATGACAGAAGAAAGTGTGGAGGGGGGTTTGTCAGGAATTGTTTGGGTGACTGATTTAATTTAAGATGCCTATTAGATATCCAAGTGGGACTGTCACGTAGGCAATAGTCTGTACTAGTCTGGAGTTCAAGAAAGAGGTCTGGGCTTGTGATACTAATTTGAGAGAAGTCAAATTCCACATGGTATTTAATGGCCTGAGAATGGCTAAGAGCACCAAGAGTGAGACTAGAAGAGGGTTTGGAACTGAGTCTTGGGGCACTCTAGTATTGTGATCAGGGAATGAGAAGGAACAGTCCTGAGGTTGGAGTAAACTCAGAAAAGTGATATTTCCTGGAAGGTAAGTGTGTTAGGCACAAGAGTGCTAACAAATCACTCCAAAGTTCAGTAGCTCATAGCAATATACTTGCTCTCATGTCCATCAGTCAGCAGGTTGGTTGTAGTTCAGCTGCTGACTGGGGCTGTGCCCAGCCGACTGGTTCTGCTTTAGGTTGCAGATTAAGTTTAAGTCTGTTCTATGTGTGTTCATCCTAGACTGAAGAGGCAGCATCCACCTGGAGATCTTCTCATGGTAGATAACTGGGGTACAAGAACCAATCCAAAACCCACAGCTTTTTGGGTTTCTGTTTGCACCATTGAAGCACAATGAAGGCAGGCCTCTGTTCACATCAAGTTAGCTAATACTCCATTGGCTCAAGTATGTCGCAAAGCCAAATCATATCAGTGACATAGGGAATCATATTCAACCCACAGTGGGTGAGAAGAATGAGTATTTGAAAGAAAGGAAGGAAAGAAAGTGTTTCAAGTAGAGGAAGTGATCATCTGTGTCAAATGCTATAAACTGAGAACCAGAAATTGACTTTGACATAACAATATGGAAGTCATTGTATGACCATGACGACAACTGCTTTGGAGAAAAGGAAGGAGAGAAAACCTGAAGGGAATGAGTTTCAAGAGTAAGGGAAAAATTGGAAAAAACAAGTTTAGACAATTATATCAAGGATTTCTGTGGTAAAAAGGAGCAAAGAGTTGATGTCAGTAAGAGGAATAGGGTTTAGAAAGTTTGTTTTGTATTTTTTAAAGATACATGATAAAATTTGTTTCTATACTTTGAAAAAACTTAGTAGAGAAGGAAAAACATACAGCTGGAAAGACAGGACAATTGCTGTAGTGCTATCCTTGAGTCTGTAGCGGTGGGATTTAGCCCACAGGTGGAGAATTTGGCCTTAGATCTGAAAGCACATATTCACCCATACATCTTCTGCAGAGGGAAGGCCGAGTGACGGGGAGGTGCTTGGGGAGGGAGGAGTCTGTGTTAATGGACTGTCGTAGTTCCCCACAAGCAGACCTAACACAGAAAGTTGTGTCCTAGTGATTTATTGAGGTCAGTAAGGGATGCAAAGGGATCTGGATAAAGGGATGACATTGTCCACTATGCAAATCTTAATATTTTCTATTTTTTTAAGAGATAAATGTTACAGTTAAAGCTCCACCCTACCCTAATCTGTTTCTTTTTCCCAAAGGTATCCTGAAGTAGTTATGTATCATTTTCAGGCATGTGTTTATATTTTTATTACATATGTATCTATCTGAATAGATGCTGAATATGTAATTTTTACAGGGTTAAATTTTATGTAAATACTATTATACTATATGTATTCTTTTGCAGCTTTGTTCTTTAGCCAACCATTTTCTTTTGAGATTTATTCATGTTGACAAAGGCAGATCTTGTTTATTCATTTAATTACTAATTAATAGTATCCTACTTATTCATATTTACTAAAACTATCCATTTGCTTGCTAATGAATGATATTGGATTAGTTCCAATGATTCCCCATGGAATCAATGTGGCAATAAACAAATGAGAATGTATGTTCTTGTACATATGTAGAAAATTTTCTAAGGCTTATATTTACAAATGGAATTGCTGATCATGGAATAGATGTTCTCTTCTAAGGACATTTGTTATTTTTTGGCTGCCCTATATCTGAACCCTTTTGCTATATTTGAGAAAGTTCCTATTATAAGACTTCATATGAGACAGAACTCACCTCCCATTATAGCAGCTGAAAATGTGTGATACTCACTTTACCAGCCACTTGGGCAGCAGGAACACAAATGCTGTGACCGAGGCAGAGCCAAGCAGATACTCCCACTCCCTGCCCCACCCAGGATTCTGAACTTAAAGTCATGCTAGTGACATGGATGCCTCCTCAGACTGGTTCACTGGCATAAATTTGGCTTGTCAGCAAAGCCTCCCTTTGTTCCTACCTTTTCCAAGCCTGTTATCCAGCCTTTGTGGAGATTCTGTAAGCTTTTCAATAAACACCTTTTCCATTTAAATGAGCCATTTTCTATTGTTTCTATTGAACTGAGGATCCTGCTGACTTATTTCCCTAAGTGGTGCCAGTTTACACTCCCACTACATTGTGTAGTAGTTCCCATTTCCCCAAATTCTTGCTAATATTTGGTGTTTTCAGAGTTTATCATTTTGCCAGTCTGATGGGTCTGAAATGGTTTCTCATTGTGGTTTTAATATACATTTCCAGTATTACTTACTGATACTGAACATCTTTTCATATTTTTTAGTCATTGAGGTATCTTCTTGGAATTCCTTTTTCATGTCATTTGCTTACTTTACCTAGAGGTATATATATATGTTTTGTTAAATTGTGCTAATTTTGTCTGTATATGTCAACATCTTTTCTCAATCTAGAGCTTATATTTTAATTTTATGAGGATTTAAAAAAAATTGAAGTATCATTGACATACAATCTTACATTAGTTTCAAGTATACAACACAGTGATTCACCAGTTACCCTTATTACTAAAGAGGAATTTTGTCACTCTCAAGTTTAACAATGTTTAATGTAGTTACATTTATCAATATTTCCCTATGATTTATGCTTTTTTGCCCCTTATATAAGAAATAGTTCCTTTTTCTGATGTATTAAATATACTTTTTGTTTTCATCTATATTGTACGACTCTACCATAATTCATTTAGTTAGTTCCATATTGATAAGCATTTAGGTTATTTGTAGTCTTGTAATGTTAGTATCAATAGCTAACAAATGCATAGTATGTGCCA